TCATCTTCTTAGCATTCGCTGGCTGTAAACTCCAGCAGAAATTCTTGTTGTTTATCCACCCCTCTAATTATCATCTTTCTCCAGAACTTTAACTGTGCATGCGCATCCATTTTACAGACTAGGTTTACTTGTAGGCAAATGGGGTTCCAGAAACTACTCAGAGAGGTGAACAGATCACTGGTCCCACATTCAGGACAACGTACCAGCTTTCAGTAATGTCCCAACATGTAGTTAAAAAAAAATAAAAAAGCCAGTATCAATTGAACAAAACAGGTTTTTCTCAATCTGTCCCTAGCTATAAATTGAAAACAATAATTATGAAGTCAGAAAAAGATCAAGCTAATCCTGTGTCAGACGGAGAGATGGGTGCAGAGGGGTTAAAGCCCACCTGGTGCACCAGGACTGAGGATCATGCTGATAAAGACCTGGCTATATCTCTGTGGTCATACTAGAAAAATAGGTGACCATCTGGGGGCCTGAACATGGATCATACTGAAGTGATTCTTTTAATGGGGGCCTGAACATGGATCATACTGAAGTGATCCTTTTAATGGGGGCCTGAACATGGATCATACTGAAGTGATTCTTTTAATGGGGGCCTGAACATGGATCATACTGAAGTGATCCTTTTAATGGGGGCCTGAACATGGATCATACTGAAGTGATCCTTTTAATGGGGGCCTGAACATGGATCATACTGAAGTGATTCTTTTAAAGTCAGAATGCATCTGCCTGAGAGACAAGGAGCCAACAGTCTGCATACAATTAAGCCAGATCTGTAAAACCAATGCGCATGTAAAACTCAAGTTCTTGAACAAGACCGAAGTCCAGAACTGGACAACAACTAGAAACTTTTTGCCAGAGTTTACAGCCGATGAACACCAAGTAGAAAAAGAAAGAGTCGACTATAGGACAGAGCAGAATTTCGTAACATCTAGCCGAGACAAAAATAGAAGTGACATGTGAACACAAACCAATCACCAATTCTAAACTACATAAATAAAACCCACACTGTACTCAGTAGCACCACACAACAGCAAAGTCTGATGAAATTCAAATGGCAGTTAAAACAGCAGATCATTAATCTAAAATAATGTCTCATTGAAACCCAGACTAGATTAACATCAAACACTTAGCTAACACTAATTACACAATATATTAAATACACAGCTCCCACATGATTGGTGTCTTCATAGACAGGTCTTGCTAAAATAAATACATTCAAAATTGTTTCTATGAGGCACACAACTTAACATAACAATGCAGCCGTAAGAATAATTTAAAAAAAAAAACTTTCTTTATTGCCAGCATTTATCACTTTTTAGGGCAGTGTTTAAAAAAAATAAAGGGGAAGGGGGTGGTGAGGTGTTTGAGCCTGAGCATTTAGGCTTCACTGCTAGTGCAGTTGCTTTTTCTTGTGAAGGTAGGTGTTTTAACCTTGCCCCCTACAGAAAAAATATCTGTCACCTAATCAAAGATTCAAACTCAGGTATCCCGATTGAGAACCCAACATTCTAACAGCTTAGCAAACTGTTTACTGCTCCAGAATAGCAAGAAGCAATGTAAAGGTGCCTAAGGACTAAAAGTAGAAGGACTTAATTTTACCATACTGAAAGGTGCCTACAGGCACTAAAAGCAGAGGGCATAATTCTATCCAGTAGCTTCTGCAGCATTCTTTGTTGAATAAACAAGGCAGGCCAAGAAAGGAATCAAGCTGCATGGACAAAACATGGTCTCTATGATAATACTGACCAGGCTCCATGCTACAGAGAGGACAAGCCTCCCTACAGCAAAGAATAACACTATCATCTGGACACGTGCTATGGAGAGGACATGGCTCCCTACAGCAAAGAATAACACTATCATCTGGACACGTGCTATGGAGGGGACAGGCTCCCTACAGCAAAGAATAACACTATCATCTGGACACACATGCTATGGAGAGGAAACGCCTCCCTACAGCAAAGAATAACACTATCATCTGGACACACGTGCTATGGAGAGGAAACACCTCCCTACAGCAAAGAATAACACTATCATCTGAACACATGCTATGGAGAGGAAACGCCTCCCTACAGCAAAGAATAACACTATCATCTGGACACACGTGCTATGGAGAGGAAACACCTCCCTACAGCAAAAAAAAACACTATCATCTGGACATGTGCTATGGAGAGGAAACGCCTCCCTACAGCAAAGAATAACACTATCATCTGGACACGTGCTATGGAGAGGACAAGCCTCTCTTCAGTATAGAATAACACTATCATCTGGACACACGTGCTATGGAGAGGAAACACCTCCCTACAGCAAAGAATAACACTATCATCTGGACACATGCTATGGAGAGGAAACACCTCCCTACAGCAAAGAATAACACTATCATCTGGACACGTGCTATGGAGAGGACAAGCCTCCCTTCAGTATAGAATAACACTATCATCTGGACAGACAGGAAGGTACCCATAAAATAAAATAACTTTATACTACTGGGCATGTCAGACAAAAGAAACAATGAAAGCAATAAACACACTGAAAGTCACTTTCAAATGATATTATAACATCTGGCTGTTGAAACCATTCAAGCTAAACTAACGATGATGACCTCTGGGTCTTCCAAATATCCATCATTTGTCCTTGATCAACCGTGATGGATTACTCAGTGCAAAACTTTAAAAGCCTTCACGACCTCACCGGTGGCAAGAATAGATAGGCTCAATCAAATAGATTTATTATGTCTTCAGTAATGTCTTTGTATTTTGACATCTTAGTAAAACAAATGAATCTGCCAATAATCACTTTTCTATCATTTTCACTTTGCCATCTGAAAATTCTTCATAAAAATCCATGCTTCCAACATGAAAATCAAATTCACTCTCTCTCTCTCTCTCTCCCTCTCTCTCTCTTTCACTCTCGCTCATGATTATATATTACACCTCCTCTTATGTGCGGCTGTCAAGTTTAGACACTAATTTTTGTTCTGAACAAAAGGCATAGTACAAACACATATATAAATATAGTAATAGCCAGATATTTAAATTACAATATATTTCTCTTATGCCACAACCAGAATTCACAATCATCACAATCTACTGTTTTAAAAGAGCCATTTCTTCCCTATAGCTCTAATTCACTGTTATTATGTAGCATTCATTTACCCATATCACATTCTTGTATTTTTTTTCATTTTGCATTTGACATCAGCCATGCTTAACATTCAGCCCATTCATAAAGAGAGTGGTGTATCTAAGGTTGCCTACCATCCCCGACAGCTTGTCTTGCTATCTTATTTCTCTGAGTCACTGCTCACTCTCTCCTACTGCAAATGTGTCACTCACTTGGAACTTCCCTAAGCATTTGCCCTTTAACTACCTTCTCTCTGCTTTATAAGGAAGGGCATAGGACTAGATTAATTTGGTATTTGGCTTCCTTCCAGAAATGTATCGGGTTTGATTTACATGTCTCCATGTGGGTTCCAGGATCCCATTGAGGGGGGGGGGGGGGGGGGGGGGAAGACCCACTGCCCCCTAAAAGGCATGTTGTAAAAAGCAACTAATAAGGAGTGTTTCCTTAGAAGATGGAGTGCATCTGTCTGAGAGGCGAGGAACCAACAGTCTGCATTAAAAAAAAAAGTCAGATCTGTAATATGGATGTGCAAGGCGAAACTCAAGTTCTAGAGCAAGACCAACATCCAGAAGTCGATGAAGAACCAGAACTTTCCGCCAGAGTTTCAAAAGGGAAACGCTAAGAACAAGAAGAAGAAAATAAAGTTGTGGGCAATACTGTCATTAGAAGACGTCATGCCAACAAACTGGCTGCATAGTCCATGTGTTTGAAACTTCCTTACAAGACCATTTTCAGGGAAATCGTTGAGAATGAAAGGTGAAGAGAAAAGAACCTGCCACACTACCTTGCATGTCGTGGCCTACACTACGTGAAGGCCCAACATTTTTAGTCTTACGTGACTTCTTTACTCTTGGGAGCCATCGTCGTGGATGCTCGCCTTGGACCCAAAGGTAGTACATTCAAATCTGCACTGAACCAGATTCTCTCTCTCTCTCGCTCTCTCCAACAATTACCTAGGCTCCAAGGCCGACTTAGCCTAAAATGGGTGCCAAGCAAAGTTCCTGGGAAGTTAAGGCATGATGCCAGTATGATGCTGATTGGTCTATAAAATATAGGTCTACGTGGTCTATAAAATATAGGTCTACGTGGTCTATAAAATATAGGTCTACGTGGTCTATAAAATATAGGTCCACGTGGTCTATAAAATATAGGTCTACGTGGTCTATAAAATATAGGACTACGTGGTCTATAAAATATAGGACTACGTGGTCTATAAAATATAGGTCTACGTGGTCTATAAAATATAGGTCTACATGGTCTATAAAATATAGGTCTACACCTAAGAACAACTAATGACATGGAAAAGAGTCCCTTTGTTAATGTTAGCTTTACTCTTACCTAAACTTCAGTGGCATCCTCTCACAGAATCCCTGGCAAAAGAGTTTGTCACACCTACATATCTGCAGCTAAGTAAGATGAAACTGCTGTATTTTATGTCACGGTACTGTGAAGTGGTGTACTTTACCACATCAATGGTACTGTGAACAGTTGAAATCCTTGTCACAGTACTATGAAATGCAGTACTTCATGCCATTGTATTGTGAAATGTTGTACTCCATATGACTGTACTGTAAAGTGCTGTACTCCAGGTGATGGTAGTGTAGAGTGTTGCATGCCATGTGATGGTACTGTGAACTATAGTACTCTGTACAATGGTACTGTAAAGTGTTGCTGTTCATGTGACTGTACTATGAAGTGTTGTACTCCATGTAACAGTATTGTGAAATGTACTCCATGTCACCAAACTGTAAAGTACTGTACTCCACATCATGGTACTGTGAAGAGATCCACTCCCTGCCAGGGTACTGTGAAGTGTTGTACTCCATGTCACGACACTGTACTTACTGTTGTATACAGTGAGGAAGCAGCACTCTCTATAATGAAACTGAATGAGACAGTTGCACCCCATTGACTTCCCCAGGCACCAGTATGGGAATCACTAGGTCATCCATATTTGGCATCACAAACACTCTCTGTAAACATAACATATCTTATATTAATGCCATCAAATGCTGAGACACAAAGAGAGAGAAAAGAGGATAGGGATGGGGAGACAGAGCTGAGACACAAAGAGAGAGAAAAGAGGATGGGGATGGGGAGACAGAGCTGAGACACAAAGAGAGAGAAAAGAGGATGGGAGTGGGCAGACAGAGCTGAGACACAAAGAGAGAGAAAAGAGGATGGGGGTGGGGAGACACAGCTGAGACACAAAGAGAGAGAAAAGAGGATGGGGAGACAGAGACAGCTGAGACACAAAGAGAGAGAAAAGAGGATGGGGAGACAGAAACAGACAGACATACAGAGGGGGAGACAGACAGACAAACATAGGTAGAAAGAGAGTAACTATGTGTATGTGGATAAGTGTGTATGTCTGGAAGTATGTATGTGTGTAAGTAAGAGTAAGAATGTGCATAATTGTGTATATCTCTGTCGCCACATACCTCTTTCAATGTGTTCAAAGAATTTTGGCTGTCTACTCGTGTACCTTATACAGACATATATCTATGAGCCCAGTGGACAAGAAAGCCCATTAATGTCTTTTATCTTTCCCTGACCTGACCTTCCAGGATGTCCCAGTACAAAAAGGACCCTAGGAAATTTTCTGGGTTAGTGAAGGTGCCAAGAAGATACTGATCCTATTGCACTGTCTGTTGACAGGTTACAAAATATATAGGGCTAGAATCACATACCAAATGCACCTCACAACTTGAAAAGGCATCCTTTACTTTCATTTTTTCTTACTTAACCCTTTCACCTCGTACGAATCCTTAAAACAATTACAATTTTTCCAGACTTCATTAAAAAGAAACACATCCTTATACTTTTCTGAAACTCTACCCCAAGAAACTAGAGAAATAGAAAAGCAGAAAAAAATTGGGGGTCTTGGTCAGTTTTTATGAAATTAAAATCCAGGGGGTTGAAATCTATGACATCATAGAGCAGACATTGCGGCCATCAAATCACTAAAATACTTCACATTACATTTTTTATAAATTTGTTTTTATGAGTGAAATAATTATCTTAAGTAAGGGAATTAATTACTAAACACAAAAAGAGGAAAGAATTAACTACTCTTCTTCTCTCTGATCATGATAAATGTGGTTTTGTTACATAGCCACATGGAGCAAAGTGATTACATAATAAGATTATTGCAAGGTAATGATGATGTCACCATTTTTAAAAAAATGATCTTTCATCCCAATAAATGATGTTTTTTTTTTTGTTGTTTGTTTTGTAGATATAATCATAAATGACCATGTCTACATAGTGTGTGTTTGCAACCAGTACCATAGCTGTTATATAAGTGTAGTGGCCCACATCCAAAGACTTCATGTCATCAAAAATCTGTTAATGCTCTAAAATGACTTTCTTTGAGTAACAAGGTTTAACACACCTCCACTTTCTATACTTATAATGAACAAACAGACAATATATTGATCGGCACTCATAGAGAGAAGTTGAAAGATAGAAGGACATACCAGACAAGGTAAAAATTGAAAGCTTTAGTTACCATGCAGGGAATCAAATCTGTCACCTCAAAATGACATGTCCACTTCACTATGCAATCAAGCATACTAAGAACATGACCAACTAGGCACCCCAAAAAAGGTGTCTTCATTGTCTAACGCACACAGCCTGAAATCCACAACAATGTAATACAGACAGAATTCACCTTAAACCATCGAAATAGCACCATAGGATAAAGACATTTATATTAACCAAGCATAGGTCAAATAACAAACACAACCTGGGGTGTCGAAATCGTCCTCATTTGAATAGCGAGGTGGGTCATTGTTTGGAAGTGATATATTCAAGTCATGGAACGGAGCTATAGCTATCGACTTCAGCTGTCAAGTGTTTTCTTATATCTCTACTTCTTTCTGTGAGTGCCAATCGACACATGTTAATTAATTTATCATACTGTTTATGAGACCTTGAGGGCTCCCTAGCTATTTATAACAGCAGAAGTCTCAGAGGCAAAGTCACTGATATGGAATCACAGATTAAAAAAAAAAAACACACACACACTGATAACAGCAGAAAATTACTTGAAACAACTGTCAGACGCACAATTTTCAGAGATGGAAGCACAGAACTAAAAATAAACTCAACTGCCAGAGGTAAAGTCACATATATGGGAAGGAAGCAAACATAAATGATAACAAAAATAACAGTTGAGTAGCCTAACGGCGCTGACCAGGCAAAATTTTGAGTTAAAAATCTACCTAAAGTATTTCAGGATCCTCGCTGGTGCTGTGGAGCCTGTGCACTGCGCTGAGCTACTTCGGATTCAGACTTGAGTTAGAAGTAGATTGGAGCACTTATGGGTTACTACCCGTGTGCCATGATGTTGCTCAAACCTCTGCAAAAGTCACTGAGCCATAAGCTCACATTAAAACATTAACAACAAAAACAAATCTGACAACAGCAATAACTTACTTGAAACTCAACAGCCAGTTTTTTCTCAATCCACTCAACCACATGAGTTATTGTCACAGCACGTTCTCCAACTTGAGGTTTTGCTGAAAGACGTAGGTGTGGATTTCCACGGAAACCGTACCTAGAATTCATATGACAGAAAGCATTAACAATAAATATATTAGGACACTTACAATCTTTCCTTAAGTAACCACACACACACACAAAAGTTTGTTAGAGATTTATTAGTAATATGACAGGTATTTTACCTTCTTCAGTACCAAGGAACACACTGTGTATGTCTTCTTCGTGTTCACCAGCTGTAATAAACTCTGGCGGAAAATTCTAGTTGTTCATCCATCTCTGGACTTTTGTCTTCTTCTGAACCTGAGTGTTGCATGAACATCGGTTTTACAGATCTGACTTATTTGTATGCAGACTGTTGTTTCCTTGACTCTCAGGCAGATGAACCCTGACTTCCAAGGAAACTCCAATTAGTCGACTTCTACAACATGCTTGTTGAGGAGACAGTGGGTCTATTCTTGTTTTCCCCACAATGGGGTCCCGGAACCCATATAAGGAAACACTGTATACTGATTTATAACAACTGTAACTGTCCTCTGGTAATGAAATAAATGACTTTACTGTAAGTAAAAAAAAGTAAAGGACCCTTTACGCCTTGAGGCGTATAGGGCATATAGGGCTAGACCTATATTTTTATAGACCAACGGCACAAGATGGGTGATGTGGTCAGCATCACGCCAGCCGCCTCCACTTCCCGGGACTGCACCCGGTACCCACTCAAGGCTGGGTCGACCTGGGAGCCAAGGTCATTTTTGAAGAAAAGTCTGGCTCCACCAGGGAGCGAACCCAGGACCTTCCGATCCGCAGCGCGCATGACTTCACTGTACCAGGTATTATCCCATAGAGCTGTGTTTATGTCTCTTCAGAGAGCTGCTGTTTGTCCACCAAAAATGTAGTACAGCGCATAAAGCTCTGTAGCTCCAGTGACAACCCTCAGTGATAAGAGAATCACATTCGCTTGCAAACCAAAGACCAGAGTCTTGTACAAATCTCTGACTTTCGGAACATGTGGCAAACTGATTTGAGTGTACTTATGTAAATATTAAAAGCATCCAATTATTAGTTAAATTACTCAGAAACCAGTTAAAAAAGAAAATTGGGGCTTTAGAATTTAAATATAATAGGAAGATGATTAGATTATCATCGACCAAGAAGAGTAATGGACCAAGAAGAATAATGTATCAAGAAGAATAATGGACCAAGAAGAATAATGGACCAAGAAGAATAATGTATCAAGAATAATAATGGACCAAGAAGAATAATGTATCAAGAATAATAATGGACCAAGAAGAATAATGGACCAAGAAGAATAATGTATCAAGAATAATAATGGACCAAGAAGAATAATGTATCAAGAATAATAATGGACCAAGAAGAATAATGGACCAAGAAGAATAATGGACCAAGAAGAATAATGTATCAAGAAGAATAATGGACCAAGAAGAATAATGTACCACGAAGAATAATGTATCAAGAAGAATAATGGACCAAGAAGAATAATGTACCAAGAAGAATAATGTATCAAGAAGAATAATGGACCAAGAAGAATAATGTATCAAGAAGAATAATGTATCAAGAAGAATAATGTATCAAGAAGAATAATGTATCAAGAAGAATAATGGACCAAGAAGAATAATGTATCAAGAATAATAATGGACCAAGAAGAATAATGTACCAAGAAGAATAATGGACCAAGAAGAAAAATTAACCAAGAATTCCTCCTTAAAAGTTTGTTTCTTGTAAACTGAAATAATTTGGCCATAAATAAAGGTTTGGAGGGAACAATAATGGAAGGTATGGCTTCTGAAGGAAGAGGCAACACAGAATTCCGAGGACAATGTGGGTAGAAAAGTTCATAAGCCAAAAAAAGCTGGCAGGGGACAGAATGGCTTTCTAGGGTGCTGGGATGAGAGCGACTTTCAGCATGGATCTGCAACATGCTGATGATTATGAAAGCCCAACTGCTGAGGTCTATCAAGGATTTCACCAAAGTAAATCAAGTTTAAAAGTGTGTTAACACATCATGACTACAAACAGAGTATTTAACAAAAAAGGAAGCCATTCAGGTGTGAAACTGAGAGAAAAAAATGTCACACAGCAAAGATGTGAAAGACTGAGGATACAATTACCACAACAACAAAAAACAAAAAACAAAACCCAAAAAAAATTTATGTACTTATCAGTGCCTATTGCAGAACTCTACTCACATCCATATACCATAAGACAAGTATAAACTGGGAACAACAACAGGTAGTTCAGCTGAGTTGAGACCCAACATGAAAGCAGTACACTAGACATTTCCGTAAGGGCCCCATCCCTGCTCATCCTTGGCAGAGAGCAAAGAGTTCTAAATGAGACGGAATCAAAAGTAATCTGATTGTATGTCTTCTTGTCTTTCCTCTGCTGAGTGTCGGCCAGATCCCCTGGTGACTCGCCCCTGCACTATACTTTCCAAATATCTAGATCGTAATGATTTCTTTTGTTTTTTTGGGCACTTCCACATTCTTCACTTGCTGCCAAATGGCTTTGGATAACATCTAGCTTTTCATGCATCAATTAATCAGACAATCCATCTGCATGATTTTGTATCTAACACCTGCATGCCCTGGTAAAAGATTTTAAGGATGCTAACTAGCAAGGACCTCTGAGGTAATGCTTACCACTCTACATGTGTCATGTCTTTCTACATCTTTCTCATAAACCAACAGATGGAGAACCCTTGAGGCCGTGGAAACATTATATATAATAAACAGACAATTTACTGATCGGCACTCACAGAATGAAGCAGACAGATAGAAGGGACATACTCTTAACAACAACAAAATTGGAAACTATAGTTACAGTGCTAGAAATCAAACCTGTCACCTTTAAATGGTGTGCGCGCCTCGCTATGGAGACAAGTGAACTAAGAAACATGACTAGCTAGGCACCCCAAAAAAAAAAAAATGTCTTCACTGGCCATGTCTATCGTACAGCTTGAAATCCACAACTATGGAATATGGATACAATTCATCTCAAACTATTGAAATGGCACCATAGGTTACAGAAATTCTTTCTCAGCATGTTTTCTGAGTCTGTTACAATCACAACTATATGTGAACAACAGGTAGGTACAACAGAAGTACAGTGATTACACATACCATAACCGGTCTGATGGTGGTGGAGGAATATTGAGAGCAAGCTTGCCCACCAAGCTGTTGACTGTGACTGTCAGGGTCAAGGGTGTGTTGGACACGTTCTCCATGGCACGTTTGATCACCTTGTATTCTGTGGCTTGTTGAAAGTATCTGGACTGGGTAATTTTGTTGAGGTAACGCAGCAGTTTCTTGCTGGCTCCTCCACCTGAGGCACTATACAAAATTATATATATATATATATATGAAAAACAGAATTAATAGGACCCTTTATAAACCAATGATGCTTTGAGTATTTGGTTCTAATCCCATATTTGTATCATCACTCATCAGGGTGCCTTGCCGACTGGCGTGGGCGATCATGCCTCTCCATAATCTGCGGTCTCCTGCAGCATGTATCAGTTCATGTGCCGACACTCCTCCAAGCCATGCAACAAGACTGTCGACAACTGAAACTCAATGGGTAATGCAGTCAACATCAAGTTGGCCAAATATTGCTTCCCAGGACATTCTTGGTACCAATTTTAGACTGGCTTGAATTGAGAGAGGCACCATTATCAATCTTAAAACCTCCTTCGAAGTCGAAGTGCATCTGCCTGAGAGGCAAGGATTCCTCAGTCTGTCAACATATTTAGCCAGATCTGTAAAACAGATGTGCATACAAAACTCCAGCACTGGAACAAGATAAAACTGAGGAGTGGATGAGCAACCATAACTTTTTAGCTAATGAGCACTAAAAAAAGGGGGAATGTTAAAAATGAAATCCTTTAGTTATTTTGAAAGAACAGTATTAAAAAATATTTAATTCATCTAGTCCTAGGGGGCTGAAATTGAAATGCCTACACAGTTGCCTCTTATCCTCGAGTGACGGCCCCTGGCATATCCCCGGATATTAATTTTTCCGGTCCCGCGTGGCTCGCCAGACAATTGTCTTGACATCAGCCATGAGATACGAAAATAAATGATATTGTGTATTTGTGTAGTATCGTCTGATTTATGTATGTGCTGAAGAAGGCTTCATAGCCGCAACATTCTCGTTTTGTTTGTGTTTGTTATATTGTGAAGCTCGCTGATATACTTTTTGTTCAGTTTTATATCTTTCCATTAAAAACATTACACACTTTTCATTCCTATCTTCCCTCAAACTTTCCCCAACTGCAAGTGTTTCACACAAATAGAAAATATCTCACAACCAATCACTAATATACATGGGCTGTCCGAAGCCACTGGATTCTATTGTTCCTAATCGTGGGAGATTTCATATACTATTCTATTACTTTTTGTGATCTCAACTATTTTTGTTAATTCTGTCACCGGTTTACCTAAATACTTTCTATCCCATAGTTTGTTGTACTTTACAGTAGTGGGTTCCAGGGTCCCATTTTGTGTGACAACGAATACACACAGTACCACGCTAACAAGCATGTAAATTAAAATGAATGATTAGGGGTGTGCTTAAATCGGATGTGTTGGGTTGAAATCACCACTGGATGGTAAATAGAAGCTTGATTTGCTAGATGAATCCTCATGGAGCAAATGAACAATGCAGTATGAATTGATCATTATGGTCCGGGGAATAAATAATACAGCCAGGAGTGAAAAGGGACCTAACCATCGTTACATTTGAAGGAAAGACAAGACAGACATTTTAATCAAACTGCTACTGGTACCATCAGCACTGGAACTCTGTGATGGCTACGGAAGATGGGGACGGAGAGCTTAAGGCAATGTCCTCAGTGCTGTGACGTTGACTCTTTTAACTCAACTAGCTCTGTTAGTTCCAGTGCAAGGACAATGGAGCTATATTATTATCAGGCTATCACAATTAGTTCTACTGCAGCTCCAGCTGATTATACTACTTTGCACTGACTTATATGAAGCTTAAATGAGACAGTGGCAGAATCATATACCTAAATAGTTCCATGCACAGCTGAGTGATTCCACAAGGATGTCAAAACCAACCAAGAGAAAAGAGCTCAAAATCTTCTACAGGAGGTCATCTGCTTCATTTCAAACATGTAATTCAGAAGGACAGTAATTTCTGTGTGATTTACCGGACACTGAACAGGCGAATGCTGAGACAAGCTGAAGCTTTAACAATAAATATGAACAATTCCTTTAGTGAACAGAAGAATTCAATGTGAACAGAAAACCACTGGACCTATATTAAGTTTCTGTTACCTCTATTGGGTTTTGGCACACTCTATTTTAAAATGTAGTTTTGATGATAAACAAAACAAAAAAAAAAACAGCACACAAAATGGCCTAGCCTACCTGTCTTCTGTATTTGAGGGAGTCTCCTCCTCTTCATCAGTAGAAGACTCTGCACTGTCCTCTTCATCTGAGTCGGTTATTGGTGACCTGGTCAGAGGATACATAGTAAACACCGACAATTTACATTCTGTTTATTTGATATCAAAAATAGGAAAACATAAAATGCAGCTCTTTACAAAATTACAATTAAAAACTCACAAAAAAAAAAAAAAAAACATATACGCACGCAAGCAAACAGACACACAAAATCGCGATGTATCTGTAATTGTAACTTTGTAAAGCTAACACTTTATGTTTTCCTACTATTATATACCTTAGCTAAACACATTTCATTAATTTAAAAAAATTTGTTGTAACACCCAAAAGACAGAAGAAATTAAATATGAGAAACTTGTTCAAGTATATAACAACTCCACTGAGAACAATATGGAGATGGTAATGACATCACTCACTGCTGCTTTCCTAAATATATTAATCATCTTTTTTTTGGATTTGTAAGTTAATTTGAATATATTTAAGGAAAACAGCAGTCAACTTAAAACTGTTCCTGACTGAAGAATTGCCAGAATAATGTTTCTTGTTATGTCTGACACTTGCAGCGAATGTTTAGTCTTTATTTTACTGCTCCAACAGTACTTGATTTCACCAGTGCTTCCTAATTGAAGCTTACTGCTACAGCCTTCATTTTACCATTTCCATAGTTAATTTCACCAGTGCTTCTTATCTTTGGCTTGTATTTAGCCTCAATTTTACCACTTCCAAGGTTAAATTCACCTGTGCTTTTTATCCTTGGCTTATATTTAGCCTTTATTTTAACACTTCCACAGTTGATCTGTTGGCGTCTGTGGCTCAGGCATTGTGAACATGCTTCTTAATGCCAGGTTCCATCCCTGTTGCAGACAATTTGTCTTGCGCTGGTTTCGGCAGCGGTACTAAGAGCTGACCGTTCAGTAGGCAAAGGCAAACTACTGAACATAAAACTTGCCTAGAAAACCCACAACAGCCAATAAATGCTGGGGTTGGTTCTGCTTACTGTTTAGCTTTCATTTCACTCATCCTTGTTTCTTGCCTAAGATCTAAGTGAATCACCAGTTCTTGTGGCTTGAGGAGGAATGGGGTTAGGGTTAGTCTTAGTATCTGTTCATCTAACACTAACCTAAAACTCCTATATTCTAGGCATGTCAGGCATTGGTTCTTGCCATCACTGTTATCCTTTATTGTGTCATCATTTCCAGTGTTTGTTACTTTCATTCGTTCCTCGCCCTCATTCCATCCTGTTTGGAAGCACTGTTCTTACTTCGTGACTGAGCCTTTGCCTTGAGTTTCCCTGAGCTGTCAGTGCCTCTGCATCTAACCCTAATCCTTGAGCAGTTTACAGAAAAGAGAGCTGCTTACTTTCATTTGGGAGACAAGAAAGCTGCGCACTTTTGTTTGGGAGAAACTGTGTTGACCCAGCGTTTGGGAGACACTGTGTCGACCCAGCGTTTGGGAGACACTGTGTTGACCCAGCGTTTGGGAGACACTGTGTCGACCCAGCGTTTGGGAGACACTGTGTTGACCCAGCGTTTGGGAGACACTGTGTCCACCTGTTCGAACGAAGCCAAGACACTTTTTGGCACACTGTAAGTACATGGCGAAAGAAGGCCATGTCATCACAGCACTAGACTATAGGACTGTCCCTGGGGAATTCCCTACAAAATCTCGCAACTGACGAGATGGGGTGAAAAAGCAGAATAGTACCGTAAAGCAGTCTTGTAGGACATATAGGGCACAGTGCAGAATAACTTATACATATGTGCCTATGCCTTTGCTTGTTAAGTTTGCTATGCTCTTGCTCTGCGTGTAGAATGATGACGTTCATATCCGGTGGTAGAATGGTAGTGACCTGTCATGCCGGTCAAGTAAAAAAGGTAGTTCATCATTCTGATTGTCTGGATGGTTATTTTGTTTTCACAAAGTTTGTTACTGCTTTTTTTGTGTGTGTGTTCAATTTTTATAGTCATATCCTGCTGCAGCAACAAGATCATTCTTATTCTACAACAAAATAGCTATCATGAATGAAGAAATAAAAGATGAACACTTATCTATTCAGTCATCGACAATATGGGCATCTCCAAAAAATGTCAGTTAACAAGGACGACAATGACAAAATAAACTCATTCTTATATTTCAATCAAGGATGATCAATGGTTGTGGTGGAATATGATGTGTCACTTACTTAGCACTGTCTACAGAATGACCTGCATGAGTTGACGTGTGTGGTGTCTTCTTCAACTTCATCAGGTTCATCTTAGTTTCAATCGTCATCTGAAATCCTCCAGAGTAAGTTATACTAAGGTCAATCCAGAATCCTCGCTCATCAATATATGGTTTGCCAGCATGTCGGATTCCTGGGATTTCATAGCCCATGTTGATATCTGTCACTTGGAGCTCTTCAATGAAGTAAGGTACCTGCATAGAAAGACAATGCCATATGTAATGTGAAAAGAAAGAATGTATGAATGGAATAATGTTCTATCTTCTATCTTCTTAGAAACAGGAATATGGGCTAGTGTAGCAGTTGGATGCTCACCTGCCAGCCAGAAAGTCATGGGTTAAAATCTGCAGAAAGATTCTTCTTCTTCGCGTTCACCAGCAGTAAACTGCAGCGGAAATTTCTGGATGTTCGTTTACTTCTGGACTGCAGTCCTGTTCCAGTGCCTTCTTCTTCTTCTTCTTTCGTTCGTCTAAAATAAGTTGTCTATATCAGCAGTTTTGTCTCTTGTATAAATTTCACTGTCGTTGTTAGTTCATTCAGTGGTCCATAGAGTTTATGTTCCACTGTTGTTCTTTTTGGCCAAAAGGTTTGCCTTAATGTGTCAAATTCGGTGCAGTCCTGGAGTACATGCTCTGCTGTCTGGGGCACCTCTTCACAGGTGCACATGGCTGATACGCCTATCTTGAATTTTGTGTACATCTGGTTATGCAATCGATTGTGCCCTGTTCTGAGGCGGAGGATAATGACTTGTTCTGGTCTGTCCATAATAAAATAGTCGTCTTGTGCTGGGGCTGGTGGTTTCCTGATCGATTTAATTATTCTTTTCTTTTGGTGGTATGTGACTGGTACATCCGGCTGCACTTTTGTCGCACCTTCCCCTGCTAGTTGATCAGCTTTCTCATTTCCAGGAACTCCACAATGAGATGGCATCCAGAACCTGAGTGTTGCGTGTGCATCCGTTTGACAGATCTGACTAATTTGTATGCAAACTATTGGTTCCTTGCCTTTCAAGCAGATGCACTCTGACTTCGAAGGAAGCTCCTAATTAGTCGACTCTTACGACATGCTTTTGGCAGACAGTGGGTCTTTTCTTGTTTTCTTGTTAATAGGGCCCCGGAACCCACACGGGGAAGAAGAAGAAGAAGAATTTAAGACTGACCTTGGATCACATGTCAATCCAGTCTTAAATTGGTACCAAATAAGTTCCTTCTGGTGTGTAGAAACATAAGTCCTGCATCATATACTTGGCCTGAAGGCGTGGAAAAGGGCCCTTTACTTTTTACTCATCATGTCACCGACATAAAAAGACCTGCTACTGACATGCAAGTTCACAGAGGCTACCCAAATGATGGAAGAAGACATAAAAAGACATGCTACTGACATGCAAGTTCATAGAGGCTACCCAAATGATGGAAGAAGACATAAAAAGATCCTTTACGCTTTTGTAAGATCATTCACATGGCTTTCAGACAGTGGTAAGAGAGTTGCACCATGGACGAGAATTAGGCCTCATCATGAAATATTCCCATGCCATAGTTAGCAGTGGATACACTGTGGCTAACCTCCATTTTGCAGATGGCACAAATAGTTTTTCAAAAGTAATCTTTGCTACCTATCTACTACCCATCCCATAATGCACAATTACTTTTGGTTTACATTCCAAAGAATTAACAAAAAAACAATCTGTTAAAACTTTACAAACATATTTTTTTAAAAACAAAAAATTGGGGAATATAGTAAAACAGACAATGTGAAACATTTAAATAAAAGTGCGTAAACAACACATTACACAATTTATTATCTACGCACATTTCGCTGTATCCTGTCAGGTGCATTTCTAAAGAGTTAACATAAAATGAAGCACACAAAGAAAAATCATTTTTTCTGACTGCCAGACGTTATTTTTTTTTTAAACATACGCAACGTGCGCATGGGTCTTTTTAGTTTTCGCTCACATCAGAAAAGGCTACAGGATTGATTTTCCATTTCAGAAAAGGTTTGCTTGTTCCAGGATTAGTGGGAGCTTCTACTATCAGCGAAGGCTAAGTTTCAAGTTAGAAAACCCACCCACAACAGAATGCACCTTAAACAGCAAAGAGTTTGATTTTCCTGGCAATTAAATATATAAAATCTTGGCAATAAAATACCTAAAACCTGTGGAACCTAAAAAAGCTGGGCAAAGAGATGACCAGTTACAAACTAATAAATTCAGCAGATAAGCACAGCTTTATCTGCAGCTCTGTAATTAAAGTCACACATGAGCATTTAGCTAGGTACATACATGTATTTTGCTAAGCTTCCGTTGCAGCTTTTCTGTGACTTTCCCAATCCACCATTTGTCGCGCAGAAAGTCAAAGAAACAACGACCAATCAAGGCATTGATCCAGAACAACTGACTGTCACAAATGATGGGTCCACTGGGATTAAACAGTTTAGCCTCTTCTAGATCTTTACTGTTAGAGCTCTTGCTTGTTTCCTTGGTAAGGGGGTCCTTGACAAGATCTTTGCTGGACGATGTGTGGGTAGGACTTGGTGCACAAGAAAGTGAACCAGCTGGCATCAAGCGACCCATGTAATGTGCAAATGTGAGCAGATCTACTGTCTGAAATATGCAAACAAATATGATTATAATAACAACAATGACAGAAATGTTTGCCTTGACCGTGGCTTCAGCACAAATTAGTTATTTAGAAGACAAAACTAACAAATATATAAATTTGCAGGACATCAGAAGCTGCTCTTGGCAGTGGTGAAAGGTAGCAATCTAGCTTAGTTTGGGCACTGGGTGAGATATGATTTGATTGCAAAGACTGTACTTCAAGGAACAATGATTGGGGAAAAAGGAAGAGGGGGGGGGGGGGGAAGAGGAGAGGTAGTCAAAGATGAGGAGGGCAAAAGAAGAAACTGGAATGAAAACATCAAGAAATGGACAGGACTAAGTTATCATACACTTATTCATCAAGCGGAAAACAGAGAAAGATGGTGTTAGTGCTTCCATCAATACATCTCCACAACTCCAAAGGGTCAAGGGTTATGTTATGGTAAGGCTTCTTGGTCAAGCCAGCCTTAATAATGGGTACTAAAATAGTTTTGGGAAGTAAAGGTAGCCAGCATCATACTGCCCATCCCAGCCATCATATGCTCATTAGTCAATATACAAATGGGAGCCAGCAGTATACACTGAATACATATCTGCTTCTTCTTCTGTGTGTTCACAGGCCATACACTCCAGCAGAAAGTTGTGGTGATTCATCTTTCTGGACTGTGGTCATCTTCCAGAACTTGAGTTTTGCATTCATGTCCACTGTACATGAGAGATTGTTAATAAATTTATGCTAACTGTACTATGAATAACACATCACTGCTGAGACCAAATGTTTGTCTATGTTAACTAAGTGTTTGTTTTAAGCAAGTTTGTATTAATAAGGTTTTACTGTATAAGAAATGCAAGAGCTGTTGCATTCTAAAGTACAGGTTTTTTTTTTGTGTGTGTGAGTATTGTAAAGGATATAATCGATCCCTAAAATTTGTTTTGCAGACCACCAACTGGAAGAAACTGTTAAAGCATGGCCATCTTAAATTTGGTCAGTCCTTACTTCTTCTGACAACCAACTGCCAAAAAAAGGCAAGATGTGTGCTCAAAACTGGACACCCTTAACTATTTGAGCAGTTAGAAAATCTCTCTCTCTCTCTCTTCTCTGTGTGTGTGTGTGTGTGTATGTGGGTGGGTGAGTGGGTGTGTAGTCTGTGGGTGTGTGTGTGTGTGAGTGTGTGTGCACGTGAGCGCGCGCATCTGCGACGTGTATTTATTTGGAGGTCATACTGATTATGCTAGCTATCATTTGGAAATTAGTGGTGTGTCAGCTGTGTCCTTTACAGGATGTTACAGAACCAGCCCTAGCATATTTTTTTTTTATATTGTGATTAAACTAAGCAATTTAACATCCAGTAGTTTGCCACTGCTTTTGATTGGTCGGCTCTCAATACCACTGTTGAAAAGAATTTAAAACGGTCTGGTGCCAAATCACCCACAGCTGGGATTGAACCCGGCAACATGAAATTATGAAGCATGTTCACATCACCTACGCCGTAGATGCCGAACAGAAAGTTGAACAGAAGAAATATGCTGCAGGCAATAAATGATAGCTGGAATACAGTGACGCACAACTCGTGATTATGGCTGTGGAGTGTAGAATCAAGGACTGAAATGACAGCACTGAGTGAATGGGAGGGCTGCAGCAACTAGTAACCACATGCTCTGGGGTGAAGATGGAGTGGGGGGGGGGGGAATATAAACTTGTTTTTGTCTCAAGGGCAGTAAAACTTTAATTTGTTTTAATAATTTATAATTTTTCATTAAAAAAAAACACATTATTTTAAAAAAAGGGTATAGCACTTGACTTGGGAGTAAATGAAAACTACTTAAATAATACTGAATTCTAAGTCATATCAAAGATAAATTGAAGGAACAGATTTAAAAAAATTGTGATCGTTTTATCACTGCCGATTTGTGTCAGTTTTCATGTTTTGACAGATATTATCTTTTGTCCCGGGTCAGTTCTACTGATGTTATTTCTTCATGCCACCATCGTAGGTGATTGCAAATACACATTAAAAGTGTCGAAAGCAGGTTTTGTTTAAACAGGAAAAGGAATATATGCATAATTCAGTGAGCTGACATTCCCGATTGCACCCAGTTATTATTATTATATAAGGTACCTTCTTAAGTTTTAAAAGTTCTGCACTGTCTTTATCAAACTGTCTGGATCATTTCTCAGTCTGGCATGTCTTGTATTATGTCTAAAGCTTCACTACGTTGATCTAGTAATTTATTCTACTCACGCGCTATTCTTTATTTCTTTAAAGAATCCGTTTTGACAATCTGAGACTAAAATTTAATTCCCTAGTCCAGTTGCAATTGATATTTCTGCTTAATACCTTTCCAAATCAGTTTTAGTTCATGTTAAGTGTTTTGAAACTATTTTGCTCACTGCTATATTTTTTGTTCACCTTTGCTAAATATCTTCTTGATACTTGATCACCTTAATTAGGTTCTACCTCTGTTTCCTTCTGGGTGGTATGTTCTGATGGGATGTCTGTGAGTGATGTGGTGGAGCTAACAGATTCTGCCGACCCCTCTCGTTTGTGTCTTGCCATACTCTCAGAGTTTTTCTTTGGAGTTGCAATGCTCTGTGACACAGCCCGTTTCATATCCAAAACATGGCTGCCTGCAAAACGATGAACAGTTTCAAAAGATTAAGAACTGGGTAGCCAAATTTCAAAGCAAATGGGATAATTTAACAACATCAGTAACTCAACGACTGATGAAGACAATAATGTTTAAAACCATCATTCTGAAAGCATTACTTGACTATTCATGAACTCAAACCGGAGCCCTTTGTAAAGCTGTTCTGTATTTTGTCACATCAGTTGCCATATAAATTGTCATATCAGTTGCCATATCAGTAGCCATATCAGTTGCCATATCAGTTGCCACATCAGTTGCCACATCAGTTGCCACATCAGTTGCCATATCAGTTGTCACATCAGTTGACACATCAGTTGTCACATCAGTTGCCATATCAGTTGCCACATCAGTTGTCACATCAGTTGCCACATCAGTTGCCACATCAGTTGTCACATCAGTTGCCATATCAGTTGCCACATCAGTTGCCATATCAGTTGTCACATCAATTGTCATATCAGTTGCCACATCAGTTGTCACATCAGTTGCCACATCAGTTGTCACATCAGTTGTCATATCAGTTGCCACATCAGTTGCCACATCAGTTGTCACATCAGTTGTCACATCAGTTGCCACATCAGTTGCCACATCAGTTGTCACATCAGTTGTCACATCAGTTGTCACATCAGTTGTCACATCAGTTGCCATTCAGTTGTCACATCAGTTGCCACATCAATGCCATCAATAATACAGTCCTAATAAGTAAATAATTACTTACGGTAAATCAGAATGTACTTAATTTAAAAACAATTCAATAGTTTAAAACTGTTTAATCATGTCTCCACAGACAATGAGAGCATATGTGCTGGATAAAATGTGTAAATCACGTTAAAAAAATCAATAAACATATTAAAGATTAAAAAAATACCAACAACAAAAATACGTAAAAACATTTTTATTAAAGCTTACTCAAATGTTTGGATACTTGGGAGAGGAGATGGGCACCACCAAGCAAACTGTTTGCCCACTGAAATCTATGATCATACACTTATTCATCAAGCAGAAGACAGAGAAAGATGGCGGGTTTTATGTGCTAGTGCTTTCATCAATACACCTCCACGACCCTAATGGGTCAAGGGTTATGCTACGTATTCAAATGTACTTGCTTGAATTATATGCCCACTGAGGTAGACATTTTGAAAATTATTTAACTGCCAATATTTAAAAAAGTAAAAAGTAAAAAGGGACCCTTTTCCCCGCCTTTAGGCGTATAGGGCAAGACCTATATTTTTATAGAGCAATCGGCACAAGATCGGTGATGTGGTCAGCCTCACGCTGGCTGCACCTGGGGCCCACTCAAGACTGGATCTACGTGGGAACCAAGCTAATTTTTTTTAAAGTCCGGCTCCGCTAGGAAGCAAACCCATGAACTTTCGATCCGCAGGCGAGCGTCTAGCTGCTACGCCACGGTGACTCCTACTGACGCAGTACACAGAAATGAGAATACCTGAAACAGTCCTCAGTGCAGATATAAAGGCTTTATATTTTATAATAGCATATTTATAAAATATTTGCAAGAATTAAACTGGCAAAGCATCTCTTCTGTGAGAAAAACATCAAGCCTTTTTAGGAACTGGTGGTGTGTTAGGCAATTGGAAACTAAAGAGAAAAAAAATAACCTGCCGATAAGCTTTAACCCAAACTTCTGCTTCTTAGCATTCATCAGCTGTGAATTAGAGTGGAAAGTTCTAGTTGTTCATCCTCTTTCTGGTTTTGTTCCAGAATCTGAGCTTTGCATGCACATCCGTGTTACAGATGTGGTTTATTTGTATGCAGACTGTTGGTTCTCACCTCTCATGCAGATGCATTCGACTTAAGAAAAAACATTTGTTAGTCACCTTCTACAACCCTGCTTGTCCTGGGTATTTTCTTTCCAGGCCGCACAAAGAGGCCTAAGAACCCTCACAGGGATATGATGGAACAATACCAGAAATTCCCCAACCAAAACTGATAACGAAAGAGGTCCGGCTAGCTAGCATAGTTGGTTAAAGCTGACCTCGCGGCGACTGGGTGACAAATTCCTTGTGGTCCGGGTTTACACCCGGGGTTAGGCAGAAAAGCCACATTTCTCCCAGATTTACGGTACCTATCAAGGCCGAAGGGTTGCGATATCCATAGTACTGAGCCAAAGGGTTAACAACTCATGGTTTCTGGATACTTGGCGGAAAAACAAAAAACAAAAGAGACTCACCTAAGGGTTTCCCCACAGCAGCAGCAGCAAACCGTTTAAACCATTCTTCCTTTTCTCTGCCAGTCCGAGCAAACAAATAAAGAACATTGTAATCACACTTCTCCTCTGTTACAATCTCAAAGCCCATATCAGACAGTTTCTCCTTCTTCCCTCCCATAACTGGCTCAGAAGAAACATGCTTTACTTTTACATCATCATGTGAGGAACCTTTATTGGCCAGGGCAATGCAGATTGGATATTTTTTGCTCCAGATTCTTTTCTTGACCAGCCCCCTTGGTAGCAGGTAGACGGTGGATCCAGGCAAGTCATAGTGCCGCTGGTGTATGAACTGTGGTTTTGGAAGAACCTCGTCCCACATGGCACGTTTTGGTATTGGATTTTTAGGTCTCTGCAGGCGCAGATGTGAGCCTTCCAAGCTGACAAACACACAGTGTGTTTTGTTGATGTGGTAATCATCAGGAATATAGTCTGTCAGCTCATTCATCCAGCCCTGTAGAATAAGACAGTTAATGAAAAATGATAACTACAATTTATTTTATGTGAACAAAACATTAACACTGATTGCTTTTATACACCTGTAATAAATATAAGTAGTAACATTAGAAAGCGACAGTCACCATTTTGTTCTGGTAAAGTTATGAAAAGGAAATGAAACTAGAACATGTTGTTCTAGGAAAGATCTGTGGAAAGAGACAGAGGAAGTTAGCGTAAGAAGAGTTTTTGTGTGTGTACCTTTTGTCATGGCATGGAGAGGTGTCAACACATAAACTGATACACACAGTTGCAGATCGCAGACAGGCACTTGATGATGAGGGATATAAGTATTAAAAACATTAAGATACAGGACCGGCATCTCTGCCTTAAACAGTATTATATACAGTAAAACCTCTTTAAACAAGAATTCCACGGGAGAGAAAATAGAAGAGTTAAATTGTGTGTGTGTGTGTGTGGTGCAAACTAGGAAAAACAAATAAAACATCAGTGCTGAGACCCAAACTGTGGATTAGTTTTACGTTAGTCTCCCCAAACAAAGTAGGTCCTGTTTCATTCACAAGTTTGTTGGGCTGGTCTACTATCCTGCAGGTTTCGGGTATGCCGCTCTGTTGTTTGCTTTCTGGGTTGTCTTGCATTTACGTTTTTCTTCTGAAAAAGAGAATGCCTGTCACATAGGTTGCAGCACTCTCTACGGTGAGGGGGGAGGGGGATTGTGTTAGACCCAGCTTGTCCATGTTTTTAAAGTGTTAAAAGCACTGGCAACCTGAAATATAGAACACACTATATTAATGGCATTGCGGAAAATCTCCGTAATCTTGTGCCAAGATCGCGTGGCTCAAGGTCTACCACTCAGAAGTGAGCTAGTGTGTAACGCTATGTAAATGGAGAGACTAATATTAGTTTTACCAAACTGTGTTCATGTTAACAGAGTGTTCTAGTTAACTCTCATCTGCCCAAGGCAAAGCACTATGTATGCTCAGCTTATATCTATGTGTATCAACGCAACACATGATGTGTTATTATTTACTGACTGTTTAGTCTGTGCTGCAAAGGAAATCTGGCCAAATATTCTTAATGCAGCAAATACTGCATATTTGAAAGTCATACACATGTGCTTTTTTACTGCAATTACTGTGCTAAATTAGGTTTCTACTTTCAAACCATATAAGACACAAAGCGTTAAGTGAGTTTATGTAAACAAGGTGTTTATATATATATATATATATGGTAACAGTCAGATTTATTAGAAAGAAAAAACAGACCAGTAAACAGTAGGTGGCACTGTCAATATCATGCCAGACACCTTAATTTGTCAGGATATTTGGTGATGCCCATTTTAGGCAGGGTTGACATGGAAATAACTATAAAACTATTCCAATGTGGAACTGAACCTATGGCCACTGGGTCAGCAGGCAAGCATGTGGGCCTGATGCACTCAGACTTCGAAGGAAACAACCTCCAATTAGTCGACTATTATAAGATTTTTATTACAGGGTAGTAAGTCTATTCTTTTTTCCCTTCTACAATAGGGCCAGGAAACCCACACAGGGATTAACATCAACCGAAATAAGGGTATCCAACTGAACACTTACACAAAGTTACAAAGTCATTTGTAAAGACTAAAAATAATAAAAAGATCAGGACATACAAAAAACAAACATTATCAAACCTTGTACAAAAACTCCTCTCCTTCAGTGGTGACTTTCATCTCAGGCACAGGGGGTGGTTCATCTTCTATAGGTAGCAGTAGAATAGGTTCGGGTATCCGAGGTGGCTCCATTAGCCACATATACAGAGCCCAGCCTAGCGATGCCAACAGCACACCCATTATAAATCCAGAAAGATATGAAGGCAAAGGAACTATAAAATAGGCGAACAAAACAACTGCTACAGTACACAGTTTCTGATATGGTAGTCCTCGACTTTCAGAACTAAACTGCCGTAAAATTGTACGACTTGTTGGCTCAGAGACAACTGCACAGGATGTATCTATACTAAGAGAGTTAATACTTTCTTTTTCTGCTTCCTGAGGTGGTGGTTCTAGGGGTTTACTTTCAAATGAAGAAACAATTTCTTCATCCGGAGTGTAATGTAAACCAGACATTGTAGCGACAGCAGATGTTTTAGGCTCTTTTTTCTTGATAAGGCGCTTTAGTTTAGAGCGGGGCTTCAACTGTGTGCTTGTCAAAAAAGCAGGATGACCAGTGAAATCTTCAATTGGATCACTGGTGAAATGCTCCTCAAATACTAGGATTTTAGAATTTGTTTCTTCATCTTGGGGGTCATAAAATTCAGAACTAACACGGCCACTGCCTTGTCGGTTCCTAGCGTAAGATTCAATATCTGAAGGTTCTATCACATCCTCAAAGTCATCATCAAGGTCAATTTTAGCTAACGGATGGTCCTCTACTGAGACTTCAGAAGGAAGGTTGAAAACTGTCTCTTTAACTGATGCAGAGTAAGATTGTACTATTGCAGGTGAAAGTATCAGCTCTTCCTTTACAGAAAAGCTCTCTTCTTTCAGGGTCTCTGAATCTACTGTAGAAGATGATAGTGGTAGCTTCTCATTAAATTCATTTTTAATAGTGCTGATTTGTTCTGACACACAGGATGTTTCTGAACTAGGCGGAGAGGAATGCAGAAGTGTGACAGTTTCTTTCTGTACTGGTCCAAAGCTACTGCTTCTGTGTAATCCAATTGGTTTAGCTGCTTCCTTCTCTGGACTTGGACTAGAACTGGATTCACCAGAGAACTCTTCAATTGTCCTGGAAATTTTATCAGTAATTCTCCCTTTCAAACCCGAGAATAATTCTTTGGATGTTTCAAATTTTGCTCTGGCCGCTGTTCTGATTGGCGAGCTTGTTGTTTCTATAGGTAGGGAATAAGCAGGCTTCAACGGGAGCTTTGCACCTTCAGTTAACCCCTCAGATGTGATCTTTTCTAAAGCTTTTATCTCGCCTGGAACTGAGGATGTTGATGAAACAGAAGAATTAGAAGGTGTGCGCTCATGGCTTTTCTTCTGTGCTTTTTGTGATTCCTCTACTAGTTTTTCATATTTTCCAGTGAAAGCTGTCAGGTCTTCATCTTCTTCATCTTCTTCCAGCTGTTTAAAGCTAAAACCAGACAGAGAGATGCCAGTGCCTGGCTTTGGGGCAGAGGATGGTGCCGATTTACCAAATCCTTTTTTGAAACTCATGGTGGCACTGAAAAATATAAAAAGAAACAAAAAATGATGTCTAGGGTTAACAGTTAAATAAGCTAAATGAAAACTAAAATACAATGCTATATCCAACAATGAAGAGTGGCCAAGTGGTTAGGATGCTGGGCTCTCATAAGGGAGACCCTGGTTTAAATCCTTGGTAAGGTAACAGATGTTTCTTCTGATTGAGGCAAATATTAACATCCTAATCTGCACAATTCATGGTGACTATACCAGTCATGAGGCCCTAAATCCTCATACTCAAGATAATCCTGACCTATTCCGCTCTAAAAAATAGTACTAAAGGCAGTAGACATACACAAATATCAAACACTAAATTCACAATGCGAACGTCTACAATAAAGGGCTGTCATTAATATACTTTCTAGTTAGTAAATAATTGTGTTCTCTGATATATCTTCTATGCATCTAAATTGCTGTTGCTCCAAGTTTAATGAAAACAAATGTGACAGCAAAAAAATACATATGGAAATATACATCTTGTATGCAAGGCTCAAATATATATGGATCTGCAATATTCAGGAGGTATACCTCAAGTATAATATGTAGAGTTCAGCAGCCTAGTAACCATGTCTATTATTTTCCAAAATACAGCCTAAATATATACATACTTAACAACAAATGCCCTAACATTGGCACGTCAAACATGTGGGCTGCGGGCCACATGTGGCCATTTGCAAGCACATATGAATACATAATGTATATTGCTGTTCAAAATTTGTGTCTTCCCCCTTTTGTTTAACTACTTCATTAATTTGCATTCATGAACATGGCTGGCCGCTAAACCTTTTGTATGCACATTGTATATTTTTCAAGTTTAAGTAATACAAATATTTTGCAATAAATTTTACTAAATGACTTAAACAGTTGTGTGTGGTCCTCATGACAACACAGATGTGTGAGGCCCTCACGACAACACAGATGTGTGTGACCCTCACGACAACACAGATGTGTGTATCCCTCGCGATAACACAGATATGAGTCACACACCCCTCAGGGGACCCTCAGAGTGACATGCCTGCTATAACATGAATACATGTAGGAACACCCGCATGTAGGCACAGTTGCATAATGTTTTATGTTTAAAAGATGAGGAAGATACAGAATTCAGTGAGAATAAAAAAAAAAAATGTAAAAGTCAGGAGATGTGAACCAGCGTCATTGCACACGGTTATAAACCATAAGTGCTTTGCCACCAGTACGGACAGCTGATAAGAAACTGTCCGCCTGTGTTGCCGTCCGCAAGAAACTTTCTAGCTACAGCGACGTTCCTCCATTTAGCCCAGAGTGTTAACTCTGGTACCCATTACCTAGAGGCTGGGTGAATCCCGGGATCGCCCAGTTTGGAACACCGGCCGTGGGCTGCAGCGAGTTGCAGCTGGATTTGAAAAGGAGTCTCCTATAGACTGCGCTAACGCTGCCCCCGATTCAGTGAGAAAATGTTGGGGTACTGGGTTGTTTTAATTAGAGACTTATAGTATACTATAGTATTATATAACTGTAAGCCAACCTGCTTGAGTGCTCGACACTGAAATAAAACAATCAAATACAGAGGGTGTGAAGACAGAAATAAAAATAAAGTTGTGCTGAAATAGATAAAAAGAGACCAGTAGAATATTTCAGCCACGTTATAAAGCTAGAGATTAAAAAAAACAATTCAATATATCCAATTTAATCCTTTTTAGGACGAAATTTTTTGTCATTTGAAGCCCTACTCTGGCTTTTGCCAGGGGTCGCAATATAGGCAGGCCATATATATGGCCAAATGTCTGAACGCGGTTTCTGGGACCTCTCCACGGCGATCCTCATCCACATGGTGGCACTTTGTGTCATCGGGTGTTTATCGCTTGTGTGATGTCCTGGTGGGTTAGAAATTCAGTTCAGTTCAAAACAATTCCTAGAGAGTAAAAACTAAAATGATAAAACTAGAGACCATACTGGAAGGAACAGCCAGAGGCAAGAGATAGACAGTCACAAGTCACACAAATTGGCAGGTATGAAGAGATGGATCAATACTACAAACAGTATATATAAAGCAGTCTCTAGATGCTTAGTCAGGAAGATAGTGTTGACGTCTGAAGATCCATTGCAGCCAAAAGGATCTATAGGTACAGCACATGATTAATATTAACAGAAACTGTACCTAATGTGGTGTTGCTGATTATCCTGAATAAATTACGGCAGATCTTAGTTAAGAAGATTTTAGTTAGTTACGAGGATTCTAGTTAGTTAAGAGGATTCTAGTTAGTTAAGAGGGAGAGAGTCTCTGGGATGTAGCAGCTAGACACTAACCTGCGGATCCCAAGGTCATGACTTCAGGCCCTGATTTTTAAAATGACCTTGGCTCCCAGGTCACCTATGTTTAAAAGGGTACCAGGTAAAGACCTGGAAGGTAAAGTTGGCCAGTGAGATGCCGACCACATAACCCACAGAGTGCCGACTGGTTTATAAAATATAGGTCTAGCCCTGTATGTCCAATATGCCTGAAGGCGTGGAAAAGTCTCCTTTACCTTTTAAAAGGGTTAGAGTTGTAGCTTTTAGATTCAGTTTTCCCCCTGCACAGAAATCCTTTATAACAATTCCCGTCCAGGTGATGTGATTATCTATACAGATGGCTCAACGTTGAGAGGCACACAAAGTGTGTGGGGTTTCATTGCACAGACACTGCTTGATGCAACGAAGTGTGGCATATGATACAACAACATCTAGTATGAGAATAGAGGTGGAGGCAGTCACTGTAGCCTTTCAATGGCTTGAGAACCAGCTGTACACACACATAATTGTAACTGATCACTAAGCCTGTTGAGAAAGGTCAAGACAGACAGGCTCCATGCAAAGTAGCAAGAATTGATTCAGTGGTCCCAAATAGTTAGCCTCAGAGTAATTTGGATATTTTCTCCTGGTCATGCCACTGTGTTAGCAAACAGGCAGACAGGCTGGCTAATTATCTGGCTTGTATATAAGATAGTTGTTGCAAGGGTCCTTTGGGAGTGAGTCAACGGTGCAGAGGCACACACAAACTTCAGTCTGAGAAAATGGTACCGCAAGGAGTTACCTGAGGATCAGGCCCAAGCTCAAAAACTCAAAGGCGCCATGAATTCACAATAACACTGTGTAAGTGGTACCATTAGAACTGAAATTATGTGCTTTCTGCTGAAGATAAGGACGAAGCGCTAATGAAGATGATGTTCTTAGTGCTGTGATTTCGATTCTTTATATAAGTATATATATATTATTAACTATTATAAGCTAGAGGTTGTGGGGGTCCTTCCTTTGCGATTGAGCGAGTGAACAGTGCGAAGGCACAAATAAGTCATGGTCTGAGGAGAATGGTGTTGCAAGGATGATCTGGGGATCTGACGATGAACACAAAGGAAAAGGCGATACAAATACACAATCATACTGTTAGTTTGTGAGAATATTCCTAGTAAATTAGTATTGTTATGTCAATTCTTTAACATTCAACATTCCTCACACATAATATTATTAATAATTGATCTCAATCTCACTGCACTGCAAGATAGATAAAATAAAGTGAAGAAGCATAATCATAATCAATCATAATAGGAAAACAATGTCCCACTAAACAGTTACCTTTGAGTAATGTTGCACAACTTGAATTACAGAATATACATACGGTACAAAAGAAAGCGTATCTCGTCTTATATCCTCAACTTCATTGCGTTAAGAAATGCGTCGAATACATTTTCTAGGAATCAATTTCACTAATCCTTTCAGCATACGACTACGACTTGCCGCAAAGTGCAAAAAGCAAGAAGCGTGCGCGTATCCTCCGAAGGACAGCATAACGAGATGGACGATTATTAGTTTGAGCGAGTGTAATACCCAGGGCAAATGACAAGAGTGTTAAACGATCTATTGCACATAACATTGTTTGGAGATGACACCTGGTTGAATGATTGATTGATTAATAGATGGCCGGTTGTAGTTGATCTCCAACATGCTCTATTCTCGCATTGATTGTAAACTGTCAGAAACAGCTGTTTATCCTTTTTCGATTTTAGTCTTCCACTGTGTCACTGTCGTAGTAGATTTGTAAAATTGACAGACATCCTGCAATACTCTGGACAGCCTTCAATGGGTATCAAGGAAGTGTCCTCGGGAGTAAAAGCGACTGGCTTGATGTACGCCACACCGCCTATTGATTGTCAATTGGCTTAGTGGTTATAAACGCAGATTCATAATTCCGAAACACAAGGGGCATATGTCGGGCGTCATTGGACACCATACTGTTTTGCGATGTTTTTGACAGCAGTGTGAGCGTCGAACCGTTCGGTGTATCATTTATTCGTAAAAACAGTGTAGTAAATAAATAACACTAGCATCAACATACGCTGGGATTGGTTTGCCACGTCCTGTGGAGGATATGCAACTAACTACATACTGAGAACAAGTCCCGGGAAGTAAAAGCGGATAAAAGTGGTCAGCATCACGCCGGTCACCTTTGCTGTAATAGATATAATAATTAAAATGAAAACCTCACAATAAAAAAAAGTGTTAACAATAACACAATTGATATAAATGGCCTTAACAAATAATCAAAAGATATATACAATTACAAATCTATACACTGAGAACTTGATGTATGCTTTATCTTCCAATTATAAACCCGAGTGGCTGAAAAGGCTATTTAGTAAAAATGACTGCTAGTACAAAACTACATCTGATTGGCGTTAGGGGAGGGGTGGGGGTGCCTTAGCGCCCTTATAAATGTTGGGGCTGGGGCTTGGCGGAGGGGGTAAGTAAAGTTAAGGACCTTTTTCGGGTGTATTGTGCATATAGGGCTATACCTATTTTTTCATACACAAATAGGAATTCTGTGGGCGGTCTCCTTTACTTCCAAGGACCTGACCTGGTACTCATTTAAGACAGGAACTGAACCCACGACGTTCGGCTCTGCACACAAGCGTCTAGTTCTTTTACCACGGGGAAGATTAGCAACCTTTAAATTTATA